ATTTATTTCCTCTTTGGAAAAAAAAAGGAAAGAAAAAAAGGAAAAAAAAATATGCAATTAACCTTTTCCTCTCCTCACAACTGGCAAGAAAACTTCCCTGCCACAGGAATAGTTTGAGGACTAAGATATCTGTTCCCACAGCTGCACCAATGCTATTCTGGCTCAGCTAAAATTAAAGAGCTGGAGTTGTACGTGGGCCTTCATGAAACTGTCATGGGGACCACAAGATTAGAGGGCCAGATGGTGACCTGGGAGGCTGAGGGCTATTCTCAGCTGAACCAAGGGATCCTCATGTGTGTCAGAACGTGTCCCTCCACCCCTCTTAAATAAGAATCCTGAAATGGTTTGCCTTGAGGGGACCTTAATATCCAGTTCCAACCCGTTACCAGGGCCAGGGAGACTTTCCACTGTCCCAGGATTTGCTCCAAGCCCCATCCAAACTGGCTTTGGACACTTCCAGGGATCCAGGGGCAGCCACAGCTGCTCTGGGCCCCTGGGCCAGGAGCTCACCACCCTCATCATAAAGACTTTATCCCTCATACCAAGTCTGAATCTCCCTGCTTTTAATCTAAAACCATCAACACTCGCCCTCTCACTACAGACCCTACTAAAAACTCTGTCTACATCTTCCTTCTAAGCCCCCTTTAAGAAAGATCAGCACATCTTGCCTGGTCACCTCCAACACCCATAAACACACCAGCCAAGGATCCAACAGCTCTAAAAAAAAACCAGGAAAGCACAGGACAGCCCCAAGATGCCAGCCACCATCCATCCCCTCTCCCACCACGAGCAGTCCTCTGCCAACACCTGTGCTGGCTTTTGTTGGCCACATAAAGCCCAGTCCAGTGGCCCCGCTGTCAGCACGCAGCTCATTACTCTGCCAAGGGCTTTGAAACGCTTGGAATATGAAAGGTGCTCCATCAGATCAGATTCAGCTTCGTTTGCTATTACAATGCCCTGCATTTCTTTTGTCTGCGACTTTTGATGACGCGCAATTGTTCCCCTCAGTCAGTATTTCGGAGTCATTAGCTGGAATTAGTAAAGTTCCCGCTGCTGGACTTTTCCAAGGCTCTGTTCTTGGGCTACAAAGAGTCGGTGAGGAGTTGTCCTGCTTTCAGCGAGCTGGAGGCACAGCGGGGAGCGTGCTGGGGGGAGAAGGCAGTCTGCTCAACTCCACTTTTCCCCTGCAGGCACCGCGAAACGCGCGTGCAGGGAAGATGCTGTGGGTGGTCACAGAGGGCTGGTGCTTCCCAGACAGCAGAGAACCTAAGACCCTTTCCCCTTGGTACCCCTGCTGGGACCAGGGGAAGAGGTACACCTAATTGTGCCTGTATTTACGCAGCACATCCCACAAAGTTCGGGCTTCTATCCCAGAAATCCCGCACTCCAAATCTGAAGGCATCAGTCCTGAAGAAGTCATGTTTCTCTGGGTGAAGGGATCTCTACTTGAGATAGAGACATCTTCCTCAGTGAAAACACCTGGATGTGCCTGACCTTGTCCTCCAGCCCTCTGCTCATGTTACACCCTTCCAGTTGTACCAGAAGGGCTTGAGTACCAAGGCCCTTTATCCTGAAGGGATTTATATATGGAGCATCCACCACTCTGGGAAATCTGTGCCAGGGCCTCACCCCCTTTATCACAAAAAAGTTCTTCCTTCTATCCAGTCTGGATCTCTCCTTCTGCTGTAAAACTACTCCCTGTGCACTGTCCCTGCCTGCCTTGTCCCCAGTCCCTTGCAGCTCTCCTGGAGCCCCTGGAGGCCCTGGCAGGGGCTCTGAGGCATCCCTGGATTCCTCTCTTGTGCAGGATGAACACCCCAAGCTCTCCTGGTCTGCTCTCTGATGGATTTTGGGTTTGTCTCTGACAGAGGATTTGTTCCTATTCATGCCTGAGGAGGTTCAGCAGGAAAACAAAGTGATGGAGCTCCATGGGCTCTGCCCACCTGATGTCACTGTCTGGACCCAAGGGCACAGCTCAGCTCTGGGGACCACAGCAGCTCCAACTCACACCCACCCCCACTTGTGGGTGGAAATTCCAACCTAAATTCCCAATTCCAGCCACCCCACCACCTCTTCTGGATGCAGTGTGGGTGTTTGGCCACTGCAACCCAGAAACAAAACCAGGAGCAAACCAAACTCACGGGGACACGCTTGTGGAGAAGAGCTCAGCGCTGAACCCAGCTCCTTTAGCAGCTGGTCACCTTTCATATGGGACTGCACTTCCATCCCCTCAGGATTTCCCTGAAATTCACCTTATAGATCATCCCACCCAACATTCACAACAGCATTTCCACTGGGACACGACCAAATGCAGACAATTCACACCTCTCACCTTATATTTTTTTAAAGTAACAGGCTACAATAAAGCAGCCTGCCCAGATTCCAGCCTAATCTAAAAACAACTTTATGGCTTCTAATTTTAGCACTAATCTTCCTTTGCTATGGTTGTGTGATTTCTAATTATTTTATCCCCAAGCCCTGCTTTGATGGATAGTTGTACCTTTTCCAATGCCAAATGACTTGTAAAGTGCCTTTAAAAAAATACGCTGAACGTTTCAGGTTCGTTTCCAGTTCCTACACAAATAACATTCTCATATATGGCTTCACTGCAGAAATATTATTATTATTATTATTATTATTATTATTATTATTATTATTATTATTATTATTATTATACAGTTTTAAAAGGAGAGCTCCATTCCTTAGGATGATCCCAATCTGCTCTTGCAAACACCATGCTTTCTCTTAAAAGCTGATAAAGACCAAAAAAATCTGTTATTGAGATACAGATCTCTTAACAACTCGGAGCCTTGGCTTGGCATGGCTCCCAGAACACTTTGCCTTTATCTATCACTATTTTCAGGGAAGAGCAATTTGCCACACCAAAACCTCGTGGGGGGAGTTTGCAAGGGGTGATGCGCAGCAGTGGCAGAGACACATTTGCCTGATGCTCCCCTGGAGCATTTCCTACCCAAAACTGCTGAATTTAGAGCAGCAAACACCAGCCCTCAGCCAAAGATGTGTTGCAGGGGCTTAGGATGAGCCTCCAGCCCACAGGCTGGTGTTCTCTCACCTTCCATGCTTACTCTGGACCCTCCTGATTGCTGATCTAGACCAAATCTGAAACCAATCCTGCTGAATTTGAAATTTGCACAGAAGTCTGTTGGGCAGGGGCTGCTGCCTGAGGACTGTTTCAGGATGCTGAGCCAGCTGACTGCCTGTGGCATGTCCCAGTAGGACCTGCTGCCACCAGCAGCCAGCACCCGAGCGGGGGACACGGGCACAGGGCTGGTGGATGTTTGTTGGGTTATTTCCTTGCCCAGGATTTATATGGAGCTCCGGTTAATTGGAAAACATCCACTTGACCTGCGACCTTTTTGTTTTAGTTATTCTCCAAGCTTTGACAGCAGCACTTTAAACACAAAGTATGTGACTTTGGGCACTGAAGGAGAACCCCATTCCCACAAATTCTGCATGGATACAGAAAAACATCCCACTGCTGCCCTCCTGTTGAATGTACTCCTTCTTTCTCATTCTCCATTTTCCTCTCTTTCACTCTCTGAGCCTGTTTCGTGACCTGTGTATTCTCCCTCCCCACTGGAAACATGAGCCTAGCTCCCCAGTGCAATATTCAAGGGAGGAGGACAGGGGATGTGCTGTTCTAATTCCCTGCACAGAGCCGTGTTACAGAGGATTTGAAATGGAGACTGTCAAAACAGGAAACAACCCAGTCAATGTCCTCCTGCCTGAGACCTGAAAGTGTCACCACACAGAGCTGCAAGGGATGGAGAAAAGCCCTCTGCTCCTGCATGGACAGAGGGTGCCCTGGGAGAGGGGGCAGCAAGGCCCTCGGCCCCCAAGCCACCCTGATCTGAGGGCTGGGCTTCATCCTCTGCTGAAATCACTGTGGAGCTGGTTTTTATTGACTTGGGGAAAAACTCGGCAAAACAGGTTAAAAATTATAACCTTCTATTGACTGATACTTCTATCAGCGTGGAGAATTTTGCAAGGAATGTCATCTCACTCAGGAAGTCAATCCTACAGGAAATCCTTCATCCTTAGTGCTTTGGAGTAACATCCACAGCATCCTGCTTCCTTCTTACTCCCCTTAAAACCCACCCCTGACACCCTCACCTCTCCAGCTGGTGCTCTGTGTCTGAGCTGGCCTTGCTGGGATAAAAGCACAAATCTTGGATCTAATGCTGCCCACACCCCCCAGGCAAAGCACCATCTTCATCTCCATGAAGATGCAGAGCAGGACAGTGCCAGGCCCCAGGCTCTTCCATTTCCATCTATCCACCTTGGAGCAAAGATTTAAAGCTCCTCAGAGGCATAACAGTGAGGTCAGGTCTGGAGGAGAATAAAGCTACTGGAAACCCAGACAAATAAGATGCTGAGTTTATTTTAAAAAGAAGGCTCCTGCAGCTGTAGGTTTCAAGCAATTCTTAAAAGCCTGATCTGAACAAGCATCCTTGCCAAAAAATATTGGTATTTTAAGCCTTTGATTGCTTTTGATGGTAGTGAACAACTTTTTTTGATATTGACTGTTTGTTTTTACAGCTCTCAGCAAGTTAACTTCAGGAGAACTTCCCAAGCACCACAGCTGGTGACCATTACCAGAATGGTGATCCAGCAACTCCAGGATGCCTCCTTCCTCCTGGAAATATTCAAGTTAAGATGGATGGGACTCTGAGGAACCTGGTCTAGTTGAATATGTCCCATTACAAGTGGCTTGGATTAGATGGCCTTTAGGGTTCCTGCAACACAGACCATTCTATGATTCCCCCTCTGGAAGCAAGGCTGGTAGTTTGCTTTATACTTGAGGGATCAGAGGTTTTATTGTAGGGCCCAGCCACTGATCTAGAGTGACAACTTTCAGCAGGAAAAAAAAAATCCACAGGTTCATGGGACAAACAACTAGAAATGTCATTTCAGATGGTCTGTATGGCCCAGCACAGCAAATTTCCCCCGTCATCCAGGCGAAGAATTAGAACAATTACCTAGAGCCTGGTCCTGAAAGGTGCTGAGTGCAGTCAAGAGGTCTCCGCTCATAGAGTTCAGTATCTCAGGGGCTCTCAGCAGGATCAGTCTTGGAGCCTGGGCAAAACAAGATAGGTTGGTGTTAGTACAGCTATTTGTAAATAAACCTACACAACCTAAAATAAAAAAAAAACCAAAAACCTAAACCATTCCAGCTTCACAAGCCAGCCACATTTTCCTGCCTGGGGAATTAACTCAAGGGCCACGCAGAGCGTGGCTGAGGAGATGCTCTCCAGCCCACAGGTCTTCTCTGCAGATCAGGATGGATGCCTGCAGCACACAGGAGAGAAATTACACCTGGATGTGTCCACAGAGCCTCAACCCACATCCAGGAGCACCCACACCACACTCCTCAGGAGCGCTGTGTTACCCAAGCACACCTGGACATGTCACATTGCCACAACACCATCCCAGGGCTCACACACCTTCCTGGCAGGAGACAAACCCAGGGCTGCCTTGCCAAGCGCACAGGCAGCAGCAAACCTGGAGGCAAGAGAAGTTAGCTGGGTTTCCAGGGAGCAGCAGGAGGAGGAACATTCCCCTCGCCGTGCTCCCCGGCCGTGCCGAGGGCAGGGTGAAGGGAGGGAAGGGGACGGCGGGGACAGGATGACGGAATCCTTCTCCACGCAGCCCTTTGTTTGGGAGCTCCCCTGGGATGCTCGGCTCAGGGTGGCCAAGTCCTCCTTCTTCCCCTACAAGGGGAACGGATGAGGGCAGGAAAACAATGCTCTCTCCTCAGCTGCCTAATGGAAGAACAAAAGCACAGCGATGCCTTCCAAAATTGTCTTTTGAGGAACAGACCATCGAGCCTGAAGGCCCAGTATTTCTGATGTGTTTATTTTTGAACTCCAGCCTGGCAGTGTCTTTCTGCCCTTCCTCTGGGCTCTTTGCAGGACCTGCCCAAAGCCCCTGGGGTCCTGCAGGGCTTGCACAGACCTCAAATCCCATCAGGAATTTAACACCCAGCACCTGGTAGAGGTGACAACACCAAAGGCTCCTTCACAACAAACACACCTCAGCCATGGGGCAGAAGGGGCAAGGCCAGGCTGGAACAACCCAGTCAGGTGGAAGCTGCCCCTGCCCATGGCAGGAGGTGCAATTGGATGTTTGAGAGGTGCCTTTCAGCCCAAACCATGCTGTGGTTCTATGACAGCCCTGTTTCAGCAGGATGCATTTCTCAGGAAGGGTCTGCCCCAGCCTGATCCCACTGAAAACTGGCACCAAACCCCACTTAAGCCAAAACCAGCACAAAAAGCACTTTGGATTGTTGAGCAGAGATGGCTGCTAGGGAGCAGAAGGGGATTTCTGCTGTGCTGATTGCTCATGGAAAGTCCCTGACTGGCCCGCAACCGTGGAAAAAAGGGAAAATAGAACTTTAATACCAAGTTGATGGCAGGCTGTCTATTTTTCTCTCCTGTGACTAGTTACCATGGATAGATTTCTGAGGTCGACCACACAATTGTTCACTGCACCGCTCCTATTAAACAGAGGATGAGCAAATCATCCCATTTGTACCGTACTTTAATTTCCAGAAATTCTTTGTTCGTTTGTTTGCTTAAATTATTTCTCTCATTTGAGGAAACAATGCAGCCTTACGAAGCGAGGGCCCAAATCTCCCGAGTCACCCTGCTGTGGTTCATTACTTCCACACTAGTTAACAAGGCCAGTAATTTCCCTAAGGTTTAATAGAAAATCCTCTTTCCAGAACGCAGATAGACAGGACATTTTAACAAACTCACTGTATCCCGGTTATGTCGTAGGTGAGGGATATCCTGAACGAGGCACAGGTCCTCCTATGGGTTAGCATAAAGAAGCAGGTAGCCTAAATGGAGCTTTTTTCATCCCAAATTACTCCCTCAGCTGGAGAAGGGGACCAGGGGGCCCCACGTGCCTTGCTCAGAGCATTAGCTGCAGTTCCACTGGCAGTGGGTTCTTGAAACATCCCAGTCCTCATCCCAAAATAAAGAAGTAGATGACACTGGAGAGGCAGATCCAAGTGGTACCTGGTGGTGGAAGAGGCGGGCCCACAGCCCATTTCATTAATGATATGGATAGCAGAACACACAAAATACCTGCCAATAACCTGCCCATAAACTGCTCTTCTCTCTGGCTTTGCCAACCTATTTCCATGACCAAATCAGTACAAAAAAACCTTAAAAGCTGAAATAAATACAGGGAAAGAGCTTGTGAAAAAAAAGGGCAAATACAGAAAACACACACATATATATTGGAATAGCAGAATAATTTGGGTTGGAAGGGGCCTTTAAACTAAAAAAAATAAACTGAGGTATTTTATATGTACATATATGTGTGTGTAAAACAGCCCAGTAAATCTCTATTGAGATGCACACGCAGGTGAAAACCTGGCAGTGCTGCCTCCAGTCACGAGGGTATTTACTCCACAACAGCCTCTGCAGCTCCTTAATATTATTTATACAAACAGGATTTGTCAAGCAACAACTACAGATGTTTGCAGTGAGTCTTCCTGCTTATCCGCTGATAATACCGTGTGCCTGGGACAGCTGAACAAATCCTGCCACGTAAATAATAAATACACGTCTGGGCTAATCAGAAAGAGGCGGTGAGGAATCTGGAGATTCCCACAGACTCCCTGCCGCGGGGAAGGAAACAAGAAAATGCCCTGACCTAAGCAGGGGTGAGTCTGGCATACCCACAGATCACAGGGAGATCACAGGAGCTGTTTGCAGATCACTTACGGAGCATGAATAATTCAGGCAGAAGCGGCTGGGAGTATGGGAACAGATAGATGGGAGCTCGCTGCCGCTGCTTTGGCAGGTTTTATTTTATCCAGCAAGGCAAGGAAACCACGAGACCCAGCAAAAAAATCCTCTGCCTAGCTTTGCCAGTGTCGAGGCTTCACGACAATCTCGGGGTACGCGGCATTTTACAGATCCCCAGCTGATGGTGAATGCCGCCTTCCCTTTGTCCTTGAGGCATTTTTGCGATTATCTGGCTGGACAGGTATGACAAAACAATGCTTATTAAAAAAACCAAAAAAATAGCCCTTAGTACCAATCTGCACTCTACTGCAGAATTACACAGCTCACAGAATCAGAATGGAGTGGGTTGGAAGGGCCATGGTCAGGGACACCTTCCCTTGTCCCAGGCTGCTCCCAGCCCCATCCAGCCTGGCCTGGGGCACTGCCAGGGATCCAGGGGCAGCCACAGCTGCTCTGGGCACCCTGGGCCAGGGCCTGCCCACCCTCCCAGCCAGCAATTCCTAATTCCCAATGTGCCAAAATCTGTCCCTGCCCTCTGGCAGTGGGAGCCATTGCCTGGGTGCTGTCCCTGCCTGCCTTGTCCCCAGGGGCTGTGCAGCTCTCCTGGAGCCCCTGCAGGCCCTGGCAGGGGCTCTGAGGTGTCCCTGGAGCTTCTCTGGTGCAGCTGAGCAGCCCCAGCTGTGCCAGGCTGGCTCCAGAGCAGAGGGGCTCCAGCCCTGGCAGCAGCTCCGTGGCCTCCTCTGGAGTTTAGCTCTGAAGGAGAAGGATGGAAACAAAGAAAAAATAGAAAAAGTGGGGGAAAGAAAAAGGAGGGCTAAGGGATATTCCCTAATCCTAACTCCAAAAGGAAAAGATAAGTAGAATTGCTTCTGTTGGGATATATTAATAGTCCACACTGAACACATTACCAAGTGGACTGGAAGCCAGGAAGCAAATAAAAAAAGAAAAAAATATAAAAAGACACATAAGGAAAGGCAGAAGTGGTAAAGACAGATGGTAGAAGTTAAACACTACTTTGGTGCAACCTGCAGAAATCCAAAATTCAGCCTGCTGAAAGGACACTGCATTTTGTTTCGTGCCAAAGGGAAGAGCCTTGCTGTCAAGAATAGAGGGGCAGCTGTCCCACACAGGGTCAGAAATGGGAACCCAGCACAGTGACCACCAGTGAGCCTGGGGACACCTCAGCCAAGAGAGCCAGAGGTCCAAGGAGGGATTTGACAGAGGAGACCCTACCTTAGCAGGATTTCTGAATGTCCCCAATGGCAAGACATGCTCCAGTGCCAGTGATGTGCTCTGGGATTGAGGAACCCTCTGGGAATTCCTGTACAGCACCTACCTGTGCATGGCCCTGCCTCAATTCACCCTTCTGCCCTACTGACAGCACTGCATCTGGCCCCAGAACTGCACACCAAGCTCCTCTCCAGCCCAAATGCTGTGCTTGTACACCACGTCACAGTCCCCTCACACAAAAACCTATTTCTTGTTATCATACGAAATAGATCTGATTGAAGACTCACAGCAAAAGACATTCACCCAAGATCAAAACACAAAAATCCCAGTAAATCTGGTTCTCAGTGTGAACCACATGAGAAGCATCCAGGCAGCCCCAAGTCAGGAGTGAAAATTGGTGCTACCAGCTAACAAATTTACACCTTAAATTTTCCTTCAACATAAAAATATTGGTTCTCTCCATGCCATCTTCCAGTCTTGAACTACTGAAACTTAATATTCTTAATTAAAAACTGAATTTAAACATACTTCAGCACCACTGCCAGTAGCATCTTTGGCTTAGAAAGCTCAGTTTGGAAATGCCATCTCCATGGTGTGTCTGTGACACAGGCTCCAGTGCCCACATCAAGACAATTTCACTTCAGTCTTTAGCATAAACTGACTATATCTGTTAGGAAACCTGTTTCTAGCCTTTATAGACTGAGCACAGGCCACATCTCTGCATTACTCCAAAATAATTACTTGGCCACACACCTCATTGGATCCTCAGGGCTTTGGGTTCTCCACCCTCGTGTTTACATTCCATGCAGAAAAATTAACTAATTAATATACGTCTGACAGATGTTCTTTGAAAGAGATATCATGCTTTCAAAACACAAGATGATGAAAGGAGCAATAGAGTAGATTAGACTGACCAGAAAAGCAAGGATTGTAGCATGACAGTGGAAAGCACAGCTTTAAGTCTTTCTCTTGATATTTATATGGTTTTTATTTGCATATCAAACTATATGCCAATTAGCTGTATATAAACCCATGATGAAATTA